CTGCCTTCAATTGGCAACCACAAATGCAAACATCTTCAAATCTCCTCAAATCAGCCCTGAGATTAGTTTATTTATAATTTTAATTTTATGGTTTTGAGATTACTGAAACTTACAGACGGAAAATGTTTACATATAATTAGTAGTTATGGTTTGAAAATGATTTCATTATTGTATGCAACTTGACATGGACAGGGGTATTTAATAGATAAGCTGTGTGCCATATCCACCTTTATAAAGTATAATTTTCCAAAATGTGTGCTCCAGTTAAATAAGGAAATTATGTGTTTCCATAGTGTTTGTGTGAGTACTGTAGTTTTGAATATAAATAGGTGATCAATTGTAAAATATTACGAGCTTCCAGAAACTATCTAACAACACAAGATTCAAAGAATATTCCGTCCATGAAAAAGATCAACAGTACCTTCAATAATAATTGTTTGTATATTTAATCTTTTTCCTTTTGAATGGTTTGGATTTAATATTAGTTGAGAGGTATGTAAATGTGTCGAAATTGGCGTAGTGCGAGTGGTTAGTGCTAGTAGCACTAATCCGGAAAAGTACTAGATCTAGTGCAAAAATGGAAATGTGCTGCAGTGGGAAAATTGAGAATGTACATGAATGTCATTGTCCACGTTTGTCGTAATAGACCATTGAAACAACGCGATCGGCCAGGAAACTAGCTCCACGGACAGTGAAACTGCAGGTCAAACTTCGCAATTTTTACAAATTGTGAATAGATACACTGTATGAAATGGTATTGTGTGGAAGTTTGTGTTTTCAGCTTTGGTGAATATAAACTTGTATGTAAATGGTGGAATTCAGCGTTGATTTTTTTTAAATCGCTGACTTGCCGTTTTATTTCTAGTCGGCGCCACACTTTGATCTTCAAATCGATATCCAATTATTATCAATGCCTGTACTACAGTAATGAGTTATTTTCAAAGATTGCATTGTAAGAAAACAAGCAATTCTATTTTAGAAGCTGCTTTTAATTTTAGCAAGTCTAGTAGTTGTGATTCATGGTACATCTATGTCAAACAACTATTACAAGTTACACAGCTTACAGTTGATGACCTTAATCAGAATGACTTTGGTGAGATGTTCAACGAAAAAATGGAAAACATTTACTTTAGTAAATGGAAGAAGGAAATCACCAAAACAGATAATAACAAACTTTGCACTTATAGCACTTTTAAATCTTGTATTAAATTTGAACAATATTTAGAAAACACCAAAAACAGGAAATTTAGAAATGCTCTAACCAAATTCAGGATTTCAGCCAATCACTAGAAAAAGGTCGACATAGAGGCATTAAAAGAGAAGACAGATTCTGTCATCTGTGTAACTATAATGAAGTTGGTGATGAAAAACATTACCTTTTCAGATGTAATCATGACAAAATTAAGGACTAAAGGAATTCATTATTTACAACAATCTATGTTTATGCACCAAGTCTACAACTATTAGCTAGAGAGGATATTTTTGTTTTGATTCTTTCAAGTTCTGATCTTTTTATTTGTAGTAGTCTAGCAAAATTTGTTTTTCATGCTTTAGAATTGTTTTAGCTTATTTTGTTTGTGTTATTTTGGACTTTACACTAGCTCTGTATTGTGTATGTGCCAAATAAAATATCCTATTCTATCCTATTCTATCCTATTTAAATGAGCGATGGCGATTTGAACACGTTGGCATCCTCCAGCATTTTGATTGGTTAATTCACGATTTGACCTATTAGCTCAACTCATGCAAGAGAAACATGGCGGATACCCTACAG